CAAATTCACCAGACTTCAATGGTGGTGTGTAGTGGGAAAGGCAATTCTGGTCCTAATTTTTCTCGCTCGTAGCGCTATTGGTTTGGTCTGCAGAAGGGGTGCCCGTCTTACCTACCATAACCGTCTTACCCCACTTTCCCCTGTATTTGACATCGTACACCAATATAAATAGCACCATCGTGTTCCTGAGCTCAAACTGCATCCAACAGACACCTTTTTTGTTGACAACTTTTAACATCAAAATTTGACCTTTTTTGACCTGAAAGTGACCTGACCTAAGCTAAATTCAACTCAAAATGACCTCGAATGACACAAACGACATCAAATTCGAAATCTATGGCCTAAATAGACCATAAAACATGTGTCACGTGACCGACGCATGATATATTTCCGTGACCTGTGATGACCTGACCCTGACCTGAAAATCAAAGTACAAGTTTGGTACCCTTAGGGTATCTAAAGCATCTGTTCACGAGTGTGTAAACCAAAAATGAGCTGATCTGACTTGCAAGACGGCGGCCAAGGCCAAAAATGTGAACAAGCCAAAATGCTTACAATTTTTATTTTGACCTGACCTGTGACGTCATCGGTGACCTCGAGGTCAATCAAATTAGGTTTCGCTCAACAGTTTTTCCAAGGCTATCAGACATTGTTTGAATTTTGACAATCAGCCCAGTAGTTTCGAGGTTAGGAGGGAGCTATGAAGAGCCCTCCCCCCGCCCCCCCCCCCCCCCAAGTAGGGCGCGTTATATGCAGACCCCAGTGGGGCGCGGGTTAATTAAATGTTGCCAGCAGCGACAGTTTAACCTAGCAGCATATAGGCCAATAAACATTTTTTCAGAAATGTTGACGGCATTTGATGTGTCTGCTGTTGTCGCATTCAAATCGTTGCAGTTCCCTTGAATTCTCTCACATTTAGAACGACTATGCACTACATACGTGCTCTATGAAACTTCGGTCCGACAAAAACCTTCGGATTGCATGTTCACTGGCCATTGCCTTGTAAGGCCAAAGGGCCATGGCTTCTGCTTGGTATGCTTACAGCCAGAACATTAACCCGCGCCCCAGTGGCGGTCTCGGCCAACTTCGCCCTAGTGAGGTGGGGGGGGGGGGGGGGGCATATGTTATCACCCACCTTCCACTCAAATCAAAGTGGAAAAATCATTTTTTCATATAACAGCTATTTTTGAAGTTTTTGACCTGTGTTGGCTGAACCATTGCCCTGAGGACGAATCGAAAGATAGATAGATAGATACCTACGGTACGGTGGCGAAAGGGCGTTGAAAGACATTTCGAATACGCTTTTACGTGACGCTTAAACTCTATTGACTCCCGATGCATGCGCCAGTTTAACCCGGCACCACCTGGGTTATTTCCGTACCCACGACAGCCTGGGGGGGGGTCGGATCCGACCCCCCCTGTTATCTCGAGAACCAATGGTCATATCGAGCCCCGCGAGGCAGCGTCCGAAAGGTCTCTACGAGACCTTCCCAAAGCACTCTTAAGATTTTAAGATTGAGGTCAACTTTCGGGTCAATATCAGGTCAAAGGTCAAATTCTGGGGTTTTGCATGATTAGGCTTACGGACAGCGGAATCGATAGCTGCTGCTCGAAACTCACCAAAAATGACCTCAAAGACCTAGTGAAGGTACCATGTGCGTATAGGAGTCATACTAAGTACGGATCAAGGTCAGGTCAGGTCACGAAAGATCACGGTTTTCACTTTCTGTTACATGGGCGTGCGGCACATGTTTTATGGCTTATTTTTCACGCCTAATCCGATGGTAATGGTTATATGTGACCCCAAGTCACTGTGCTGGTGATGAGTGTGCATTGAAAGCATAAAATATCGTTTATACCATGCATAACCAAACGAGGGCTAAGAAAAAACTCAATTTTTCAACTTTTTATTTTTGACATAAAAATGCACTTTTCTAGACGAGTTTTGTCCCAGGAATCTAGTGGTGCCATTTGTTTTCACATGTAATGTTCAGAAGTGCCTCCAATTCACGAAAATGCTTATGACGTCACCATGCCCTATGCATGTTGGAACTATTTTTTTTTTTACAATTTTGGGGTCAAAAATCAAGATGGAAAGTTGAAATTTGGGACATCTAATGTTCTAATAGAGCTCTATAACATATATTCCGGTTTTTGTAAATTCTCAAAATTTTGAATTTTTTCTGTTTTCCAAAAAATATAGTTTTTTAATTTTTAGGGGTGAAAAACGCATTTTATGGAAAATCCGAGATGGCCATTTTAAAGAACTCGTTGAGCTGCGTCTATTCATGTATCTAATTTGCAATTTGCTTTCAACCTGGATTTTTGGCGATTTTTAAACATTTACCACTTTTTGACTGAAAACGCATGTAGTTACATCACTAAAATCGATAAATCTCAAAAAGTTTTTGGATTTTTTTTTTCTTAAAAACTACACAGGAGACGTTAAATTGATGGGGGAGAAGGTATGCCAAGTTTCAAGTTGATAGCGTAAGCGGTTCATGAGTTATTCAAGAAAAACGGAGGGGGGTCAGATCCGACCCCCCCCCCAGGCGGTGGCGGGTTTTAAACATCGGGTGATTCAGTTGTGATGTAAAAAACGCATTCTAGAAGGAGCTCGGGTACCTTTCGCTATAAAGACCCATTGGAATCGACTTATGTGGCAATGTCGTCTCTATAAAGAATATACTTAGGTCCTAATATGGGTGATTTATACGGATGAGTGCCAGGGGAGCAGCCAAGGGGGGGGGCACACTGGGCTTTAGCCCCTCCCAAATCTAGCAGGCGCCCTCATCGCCCTGGATTTCGGGGCGCCGAAGGCGCCTTTCTAATGTCCAGCACTCTAGGCGTCCTCGATGGTAAGCCATTGCGGTACACCATGCGGCACTGGCGCCCAGGTTTACAATTTTATACCCATCTCTTTGTGGGTGAAGATGCACCCACAATCCTGAACTGCCGGATATCCACCCCCAATCTTCTTACCATCTAGCGCCCTCCTCATCTTCAGCGCCCTTCTGTCTTTTCGGCGCCCTTCTGGTCTGTCGGCGCCCTTCTCGCCATTCAGCGCTCTTATGGCCTGTCGGCGCCCTTTTCACATTCGGCGCCCTCTAGGCTGACCAATCGGCGCCTTCATGGTCCTTACCACACAGCATCCTCCTCACCTGTCAGCGCCCTCCTTATCATATTATAGCGCCCTCCTCACCGTACAGCGCCCTCCTGACCTGTCGCCGGCCTCCATACTGTATAGCGGCCTTCTAACCATACAGCGCCCTCCAGACCCTCTGCGTTTAGCGCCCTCCTGACAAGTCAGTGCCCTTTTCATCGTAGACGGCCCTCCCGAGCTGTAGGCGGCCTCTTGACCGTACATCGCCTTCCTCACCTGTCCGCGCCCTCCTCTTTAAGCAGTGCCCTCTTGACTGTCAGCGCCCTCTTCACTCGTATAGTGCCCTCCTCATCGTATAGCATCATCCTCACCATACGGCGCCCTCCTGACCTGCCGGCGCTCTCCCCACCATACAGCGCCCTGCTGACTTGTCGGCGCCCTCTTCACGTAGCGCCCTCCAGATCTGTCGCAGCCCTCATCACCGTGCAGTGCCCTCCTCACCTGTCGGCGCCCTCCTCGCCTGTCGGCGACATCTTCGCGTTCAGCGCCTTCCTGACCAGTCGGCGCCCTCCGCAATGTATAGCGCCCTCAACACCATACAGCGCCCTCCTGACCTGCTGGCGCTCTCCTCACCATGCATCGTCCTCCTGACCTATCAGCGCCCTTTTCACCGTAAAGCGCCATCCTGATCGGCGCCCTCCTCACATTACAGTGCCCTCCTCACCGATAATCATCGTTCTTCTCACCATACACTCCGGACTGTCAGCGCCCTCTCCACGTTACCGATGTTGGTTACTGACCGTGGTTAGTGGTAAGTTCTGATCACTGTGTGATGCGTTTAGTTATGTATTATGGTTTTCCATGATCCGTCATATTTTGTGAATTGCCGTAGAAGCTTGAGCTTGAGAGGTGAGCTTGAGAGCAAACCAAGTTCAGTTTAAACTCATTTTGTTTTACAATTAGAAAAGCGCTAGGGAACCCAAAACGATTTAGGCGCCAACTAGAAATAGAGCAATTTCCAGAGAATAAAGGCATGACAACGTTTCCAGCGCCTTAATTTGGAGCTCACTGCATCTAGTTCGGCAAACATCCATCGAGCACGTCAGTGCCACTAGCCCGACCGGCAAACTATTCACTCATCTTATTCACTCCATTCAACTCATTCACTTATCACTATCGTCCTTTTTGGGTCGGCCGTAAGCCAGACGACGCTTGACACCAGAATTTGAGACGGAGGAACTGAGCCGTGGGGTCGAAAAATACACCAGTAATGCAGACATTCACTGACCGTTTTTGTTTGCCTGTAAGACTGCCGCGCCTCGCTTCCGTTTGAAATACGTCAGTAAAGGCAGTTTTCATCTGGAATTCCTAGAATAAACCGTAGTTTGAGTGGAATAAGGTCGCGTGACCATGTAAGGGAAAAACGAGTGTACATTTTGTCGTCCTTGCTCGGCATTGATAGCGTCCTCCTAAGCCGAAATTGGCGCCCTCTTGACCCGAAATTGGCGCCCTCCTGAGCCAAAATTGGCGCCCTCACCAATTCTAGCCCCCTCCAAAAATTTTCCTGGCTGCGCCCCTGATGAGTGCAGATGTTTTGACATGCCTTCGGGGCAACTATCGACAAATCTCGCTACCGAACACTTATCTTATGGTGGCTAGGAAAGGACGTCAGTGTCTGACATAAGATCTAATATTTGTTTATCCGCACGCTGTGCGAAGTGTGTGCCTGGTCGCAACAACCGGGTGTGAACTGCACAAGTGCACACCGCTCACCTGTGTAGACTAGTTAGGAGTTGCCCCGAGAAACAAGCGTCGTTTTGGAGCCGGACGCGGGAATCGGTGAGCCGCGCCTCCGTCGTCGGCCACTGTCGCCTCCGTCGTCGGCCCGTCGACAGCGATGGAGAGGGTGGCGGCGCTGGTGGCCGCCCTCTGGCTGCTCGGAGCGGCGGCCGAGCTCACGCTGCCGCCGTCAGCGTTCATAGTGCACTCTGCCAGCTGGGGCTTCACGGAGGGCGACGTGCCGCCGGAGGAGGTGCTCAAGAGCTTCGGCGGAAACACGGAGTGTGAGTGGTTGGTTAGGCAATGTGAAAGCGATCACTGACTTCTTTTGAATGACGACAAGAGGAATGAAAGTTTTTTCTCTTTTTTCAAGGATGCTGGTTTCTTGATTTTCTTTTTACTGCCGAAATAATAAAAGAAAAATTATTACATCGTACGGTTGTAAATTGTACTCTTTATAAAAAAAGCTAATGTTGTGAATTGTGGGACAAGAAAGAGCTTCGTGACAAAGTGTGGATCCATTGGCTCATCACATATTCGTGATCTGTGAGTTGTCTCGTACAATAGCTTTATCACAAAATCGCTGTCACCATTCATTGAAATTATAAGGTAGGTACCTCATCTTTCGTCAATTATATTTTTGTTATAAATTTTGTTCGAATATATGAATGAGCAGATTGACAAAGCCGAAGTCGACGCTCAGCGGACCTTGTTGCGTAGACCCCGTCTCCTACCGTCCGATCAGGCGATTCCAGGTGACGGGAGAATTTAGATTTCAAAGTTAACCCGCGCCCCACTGGGGGGGGGGGGGGGGCTATTCATACTTCATAGCCCCCTCCCGTTTTTCTGCAATAACTTCCAAGCCGCTTGATGTATCGACGCTAAACTTTCAGTACCTTCGGCTGCATCAATTTGAAACCTTGTGTCAAAATATGAACTTCAAAGCTACCATAGCACAGTAGGCGATCCAGGCGTTCTAGCGCTTCAGGGACCCAGGATACCAAAATGAAAAGTATAACCGAATGATGGTTTATTGTGTAGCCAGATACCCTGTCAGGTGAAGAACAATATTATTTTTGACATTACGCAAGGCACTTCCAAACCATACCCATCTGAACGCCACCCAAGCTCGATAGGCTGAAATATCTTTCGCTGGGCCGTGACCCGACCCTTATTGTTGTGTGCTCTGTTACTCATGAATATCGCCCAAAATGCGTTTGAATGCAATTCAAGCTTATACCTTACACCTTCCTAAGCATTATGCATGCCAAATAACTTTGTTTTGAAATTGCGTGTGCATTTGTATATCATTTGCATTATACCCTTTCAAACGCATCGCTCCGATTCTGTATAGTAGGCTTTGGCAATGCGCAACTCTTGCCATCCAGACGATTCGGCGCTAAAAATCCCATTTACTTGTAGCATAGCTATTGTTCTCAATATCCTGAGGAAATTAGCTGCCACTTTTTGCGACTCTTTGAGTTATTGAAGTTTTTGTAACACATAACTGGTCGATTTTGGGGGTACGTCAGCTGGTGAGTAGTTAGAGGTGGTTTGGCACACCTTGATATCTCGAGAACCGCCCTTCAGTTGAAACAAACAGCATCTGATTCTTCTGGTCAAAAGCTACATTATCCAACCAAAAAAGTTCAAAAGTTTGCAATTTTGGAGTACAAGAAACCAAAAATAACTACGTAAAAGTCGCTGTGTTTTTACATATGTTCAGAAGTCTAGAACGTCGTTCTTTCTTGGACAATATCAACCAAATTTTCAGGCTAGCTTTCTCATGGGCCAGAGTGTCACTACGTTTCAAAGATAAGAGTTTTAGAAAATCATAGGCGTGTTCAGGTAGTCAAAACGGGAGGGGGAATATTTTGTGTGCTTATAACTTCGTTAGCTATATATCGTATGATATGTTTTGCAATGATAATTCAAGACCTGCAACACCTAACAATAATGCTTCTGCCAGGAGAGGTGAATCTGTGCGATATGTTAACCGTGGGATGTGCACCACAGAGAATAGGTACCACTTCTGATACCAATCTACACTTTCTTTGTAAATTACCCCCTACCGCCCTCGCTACCCCTCACGGACACAGCACACTCTCACATTCCTTTCACTTAGTCATCCTTTTCATCCACCTACTCAAGTTTTCATTGCCTACTATTCCTAAGATGTGGAAATGGAGAGACTTTTTGTGTGTGTGAGAGAGAGAGAGAGAGAGGGAGAGAGAGAGAGAGAGAGAGATAGAGAGAGAGAGAAAGAGAGAGAGAGAGAGAGAGAGAGAGAGAGAGAGAGAGAGAGAGAGAGAGAGAGAGAGAGAGAGAGAGATAATTGTGAATGTCCTGTTAAACACCTACGTAGTCCTGTGCAATCATATGATTGGCCCACGTAGTTTGCAACGAAGTGGGATATCCGTAGCGGACGCCTAGTTGATCGGTACATTGTATTCACATTGTATTCACATTGTTTCGGAACTTTCCCCAATCGACTTGGGGCTATTACAGTTCCAAAAGGATCGGTAACAGCGAAAAACAGTGGCGTCATCACATCATACATAGTGAGCACAACACAAATGCCGCAGCATTGATAAACATAACGAAAAATGATAATAATAATTTCTAACAATTAAATTGCAGGTTGCACGTTGAATGTAACATAGGTAAAGTGGGATGGTTGTTCGAGATGTTCACAGCCACATTCAAGTACACTAACGCACATGTCATCAAGAACGCAGGTACTTAGATTATGTCTGTCCAGGTCGGTCACATATATGGCTCACTAACTTGCTAGCAAACGTTGGTATTGACAGTAGTGTGAGATCATAAGGCAGAGCATTATATTGTCGGGGTGCGCGACTACAAAAGCGTCTCCGGCCCATTTCTGTACAGGACATAGGTACCTGCAGATTGTTGTTCTGCCTAGTATCGCGGTCGCGAATGTCCGACCTCAAAATGAGGTTGTCGGCAAGCGTTTTAGGCACTCCCGTGCGACGCACTTTGTGAGCCATACACAGAGTATGGTACTCGACAAGCTCACTGGCTTTAAGCCAGCCTAATTTATGTAATAAGTCAGACACGTGATCAAATTTCTTGCGTCCAAAAATGACTTTAGCCGCATAGTTTATGACTTTTTGGATGCGATTAATATTTTTGCGCGTACCATTACCATAAACAGACAAACAATAACGGATATGTGAAATGACTAACGCATCAACCAGTATCAAGATTACTGACGGCGGCAGGTGACCCCTCAGTTGCGCTAATCCGATGAGGATACCAAAACAACGCTGAGCGATTGATGAGACGTGCGCATCCCAGCTGAGAGTACAGTCAAACTGGACTCCAAGGTTTCTGGTCTCCGAGACGGGAATCAGAGTACAACCATGAAATCTAACAGTGCCATTAGGGGGATCGCGCATGTTCTTAGGACTTCCAAGTAGCATCAACTGTGTTTTACCAGCGTTTAGTTTGAGTCCGTTGGCACGAAACCACAGTCCTATGCATTCTAGTATTCGTTCTAATTTGCAGGTTACTTTTTCGAATTCGTCTTTTCTGCCACTAACTAAAATCTGCGTGTCATCCGCATACTGAACAATCACTGCATCTTCAGCAAACAAACTTAGATCATTAGCAAAAATACAATACAGAAGTGGACCTAAGGCCGAGCCCTGGAATACACCGATATCATTAGGGAGGGGTTTGGAACACTGGACAATTCCTTTGCTGTCGGCAAAACGAACACTTTGAGTGTGACCACAGAGGTAGCTAGAAAACCAGGAAATTTCGATCCCGTGTAACTGCAGCTTTGTTAGAAGTTTAGAGTGATCAATCACGTCAAAGCATTTACTTAACCCTCGCCGGACCTATTGGTTTTCTACATACGCGCCGGCCGAGGGGGGGGGGGCGGGTACGACCCCCCCCCTCGCCGTTTCGCCCCTGGTGGAGCTAGCGCGTCGCGGAAAAAACGAGCGTGTGCGCCGTTACGAGACGCAGAGATTGGTACCCGATTTTAAGGTCCTAGGTCAACCAGTGACCTCTGAGGTCAGGTCAAGTGCCCCAAGGTACGGTTCAGTTTTTGGTGAATAACTTCGGAAAAAACGGCCGCAGAGCGCCGATTTTGGCAGCATCGTGTTCGCCTCGCTCAGGCGCGTCGAATGATATACTTTTTGTCCGGGTCAGGTCAACTTGGGGTGTTGACCTCAGGTCAAGGTCAGGTCAGCACCCCCAGGTCACGAAGTTGGTCGAAAGCGGTCATGTTGCATATCATTCGATTCGGCAGGCCTTCCTGAGTCCATTGGTGGCTTTCCCGACTCGCTAGCTCAATTTGATCAAGAGTTATTGACGAAAAACTAATATGACCTTGATGACGTCATAAATGACGTCACGCAAGGTCAACATTGCAAAAGTGACGCATCTAACCTTGCAAGGAGTGCATCAAATCACGATTCTGTGTGCTTGAGATAGTTGGAGATCGTTCCCGGCGCCAGAATAGCAGTTTTCATTTTTCCCCATTGACTTATAATGGTGAGGTCACGAAAATGACCTGACCTCATATGACCTTTAGGAAAAATCCGAGATATACAAGTTGTGAGACTCATAATGGATACTAGATCCTGCAAGTTTCATTTCCCTGTGACATCTCCTCTGGCAGTGAGGGCGTTGCGAAGTTGCGACATCTGAAGACCGTGCAGAGGTTCACTTATGACGTCATAGGTCAGTGACCTGACCTGACCCAAAAATGCGGTTGGTGTCCAAAGATCCGGCTTGGATCAAAGGTCAGGTATGCCAAGTTTCAGCTCTCTATCGCCAACGTGTTCGGAGCTATCGCGAAAAAACCCTATGGGGGGGCGGCACCCGCCCCCCCCCCCTCGGCCGGCGAGGGTTAAGTCGAGCATGCAGAGAAGTGAAAATTCTCCCTTGTCGTTAGCAGAAAGGATGTGATCAGAAATGGTAAGGAGAGCTGTTTCGGTTGAGTGCCGTGGACGAAAGCCGTGTTGCGAGGGAGAAAGAAGATGGTTATAAGACAGGTACCTGTACACTTGTTGGTGAACAGCGCGTTCAACAATTTTTGCGATGACGGGAACTATCGAAATCGGACGGTAATTACAAGGCTTTGATGACTCTCCAGATTTATAAACGGGAAAAACAAGAGAGTGTTTCCAAGAGGATGGCACCTCGGAAAGGGAAATGCTAGAGTTAACTAAATGAAGAAGCACATAGCCGATTGTATCGAAAGCCATGCGGATCATTTGAATATTGATGCCATCTTGGCCACATGCGT